CTCGTGGGGGCTGTTCTTTCTTCCTCGCCCCCTGAGACAAAGCCGAATTTTTCCGCTAACGGTACAGCCGAGGGAAAGGGGGAGGAAGTCTGACACCGCAGCAAATGACGAGAAAGCACAGGACGGTTGTAACGAGAGTGGAGGGCTCGACAGACTCCGTTGAATAAGAAAGACAGACAATGAACGCCGATGGCAGAGGCGCGCGGGCGAGTTCATTGAAAGTGAGCTGAAGGACTTTTGCTCTCGCGAATCAGGGAGACACATCGGTGGTTGCCTGGCAGCCCAACGCGTGTCTCGACCAGAGACAGAACGACTCTTTGTACGAGTGCATCAACGTACGAAATCAAACCTCGGAGAACAGAGAGAGTATCCAGCAGTATAGCCCAGGCGGCTTGGGGACTGGTAGGAATTACCGAACGGTCCTTCAGCTGTCCTTAATTCGACCCACGTTTCGAATCCACCAGGGGAAATAGGGGTAGGGAGAGGTTTAACCGAAAGCAAATGTGACAGCGTTACAATGTAAATAGGCGGCCTCGAGTAGAGAGAGGTCGTAGCACTTGTTCGGCCATGAACTTGGAAACGGTTAGACACACGGCGGAGAATCTACGCGAGGGGGAAGCCCGCCTAAAATATTCTCGTGATCCCGAAACGTGTGCGACTGTAGGTGGGATATGATCACGAGACACGCCAGTCGAAAACTGTCACGCGAGCCAACACGCGAGCAGCTCTCCTTCCCCTACGATTGAGATCATCACCCTTTAGAACCGTAGGATATCCTCGTCCGAATGGTTGGTGTGTGGGAGGCTAGAGACGCGCGTGTTTTCAGCATCAGCCGAATGGAAAAGAAACGAGAAAAACCGCGGAGAATAGAGGGACGGGGGAAGACCGAAATAGAGAGAGACGCCGTTACCGACGGAGCTAAACGGTGGTGTTCCCGTACGTCACGGAGCACACGAGTCCAGGCAAGACAAGTTGATGTTCACGAGTACATACCGCACGAGACGGGTGTAAACGATCTACCACAACGCTTTCCTCAGGGAGGGAGTTGGGGCGATTCGGGGGGATCATGAAGGGGGATAGGCCAGTGTATACATATACAGTGGTCGGTGGAGTTAGTACACCACCCGGTATATATAATCTTGTAACACACACCGATAGCAGTGCACCGCGCGGTAGTAACGGCGAGATACGAAGAAAGCGCAATGGCCGACACCGCCTGTGTGCACCTCCGCTGGTAGCTTCGATCCTTCCCGCGGGGCCCACGAGGGATACAGTTTTCGATTAACTACACCACTCTACCCGCGTACGATCCCGCCTCGGACAACCACACCTCTGCTAACCCGCGTCACGTTCGTGTGACGTAGACGAACCACGGTTTACCCGCGACGGACCCGTTCCTCCGTCTAATCTTTCCTCGGTGAAACGTATTGTATCACGGAAACGCGGCTTAGTGGACCACGGTTTGCGTATACTGTTCAGATTGTATGAAACCGCTACCACACGCGCCAAACCCGCCACGCTCCGTCCCGTCCGCTGGATAAAAACCGACTGACTGGCATGCTCCGTTCGTAGTCTCGACGAGCGAGCCGCGATGCACCGCCGCCACGGATGATGATGATGAGAGAGAGAGGTTACAGGGCGGTGGAGGGAACAGAGGGAGAGCATAGTCGGGACACTGAGGACGACGCCTCCACTTCAGAGCACGGTGGGACAGAGACACGGATAGACGCGCGGACGAATCCGATTGGGCGTGGTAGACGCACCAGGTTCGTCTTTTGGACATGTACCGACTGCGGGTGCGATACTCGCCCGCGCGGCGTCGCCATATTGCCGAGCGGGAAATTCAAACAAGTGTCACGATTCAATGTATTCTCTGACCGTAATTTATTGTATTTATTTGTTTATTTATTAACGGGATAAATATACTTTAATGCAAAAGTTATCGTAACGAGACAAAATGAAAATAAACGGAAACTTTTGGCAGTCACGGGGGCACCTAAATCATTTAAGTTCTAAGGACCTCTAAGTCCCAATGCTGCTCTGACTCTCATGTACTCATGCCCAACAAAATTAACTCGTGCATGCCGCCTTCGAGCGTGTAAAAACGGGAGCAATATAAGGAACAACGCGTAGAACAATGCATATCCGGGGCGAATCGATCACGTGTGTCATTAACTGTTGCGGTTGCGGTCATAAGGAATTGGGAACTATAATTCACCTGACCGTGCGTAGTCGTGATGTTACATTATGCGCGCGAGAACGATTTACGGTGTTCATTGTCGCGGGCAGAAAAACAGACTAGCCATTTTCGTGATCGTTTTCTGCATTCCATATCCTGTAATTATTTTATAATTTATCGTCGAAAAACAAGCGACTCGTTCCGCTCCAAACATCCGTTCTTTATGGAAATTTGGCATGGAATCGCAAAAACGCCATTTGGAAACGTAAACACGATTTCTTCGGTTTCCTATATATATATGTGTGTGTGTGTGTGTGTGTGCATACCACCGAGAGAAATTATATAACGAAAACAAATATCTGGATTAATCGATAATCTAATGGTTGTTGTTTTTCAGGGGTGTTTACTGCCAACCGAGTCGGTTCACCCGTTCTATTTCCGCTCTTTTGGTCCAAATATCATGTAATTCTATTTTACACCTTTCTCTAATTCGGATTCAACTTCCTGTCGGGATAAAAACAAAATGGCTGACCTATTGCTCCGTTACGGTATGTTCGTGTAATTTCTCGCTTCGTCGAGCTTAACAACCGTATTATAAAAGCTCCTCTTCATCCCCCATATATACATACACATCGGAAGTATGTCAAGAATTTCGCCGTGGGCCGCTTTCGCTAATAGTACCCACGATAATTGGTTCGCCGTGTTCGTCGCGGTTACGCCACGAAACGAACCGTGTCAAAAGCAGTCTGTTACTTAAATTATAAGGTTTTTTTTTATTCGCCGCGTCCTCGCCCGGCTGCCGGCGATGAGGTCACGATCAAGTGGAGAACGTGGCGAAAAAAGTTGTACCACTGTGGTCGCGAGAGCTCTCCTCCTCCTCCTCCACCAGTACAGTACCTACGAAATTCTGCCTCTAGTTCCTTAAATAATTCACGCTCCCGTTCCTGCGAGACGACGAAATCTCGAGTTTAGCTACGCGACGCTATATAGCTCTTTATTTACATGAGAAAAATCGTAGCCAATAGTCTTTATTATCCTGTACGGGGCAAGACGAAAAAGAGTTTCATCGAAATTGCACTTTCATTTCTCCAGATTAATGTTCAATTACCAGGAACATACCAGTACATGTATTTCTTTGCTTCTTATGCAAATCCAGAGTCCCAAATCTAATAATAAAATTTTTTGTACACAATGCTTTATACGTTACGTTTATATCAAGTAAAATTAATAAGGTGACTGTATTAGTTAGGACTACTGATAGTAATTGGGACATTTACCCTAGTTCTGTGGCGCATTCATCGGCGACGAACCCGACACGATCTCTGCTGGGCGATTCGATCCCGCAGAAAAAGATCCGCAGCTTAGAAAGCCACTGTGGTCTGTCGTGGTTACCTCCGTTACTCGATACACCGGCTCGTATCATTTGTCATTGCACAATCGGTCGGGCCGATCGTTTGTACTCGAAAAGGCATCAGGGGATCGAAGACCTATTACTAACTTGCGCACGGCACAAGGATCGATCGAACGAATAATATTCCAGCATCGTACTAATACGTCATCCGACATCAAAGTGTTAATTGAAGGTTTCATCAAACGGTGGTTTGTTACTTTGGAAACCGGCTCGATGGAATACGGATTAACGGGGATAAAAATATATGTAGTTGGGAGATTCTCGTTGCTCGGAATTGATTGGGGAAGTAGGTGATTCGAATTAATCCGGGAATCGGTTTACCGTTCGGATAAACGTGCAAAATAGAAGGTCAGCCAGGGTTTCACTTGATCAAAGTTTATTTATAAGGAAGAGGGGGCTCCGATGTCCGTTCGATAGATTGTAAAAAAAAAGACAAGAGCACAAGTGTATCCATAAACTTCATTTTATTCTTACAACGATGACCACCAGACCCGTGATTTCGTCAAAACGATCTAGCATTCGTCCGATGAAAATTTTGTAATTTTACATGTTGCCTATATTTGGCTGACGCGGTAGTCAATGTGTCAAAAGAACACAAAAGTGCTTCTGTTCCAAACGATGAACCGGAACACAAGAAGACCTTTTACGAATCAGTTCTGCGGTTCATATTTGTGATTCAGACCACTAGGAAACATACGATGCGGACGCAAATATCCCCGAAAGAAGGGAGATCAGGAAACAAACAAAAAATGAAGATGATCGATCAGATGATGATTGAGAATCCTCCAGGGACACCATGAAAAAAGAGTTCCTGGACGACACAGGGTTAGCATTCAACCACGGAAATCTGGTAATCCCATTCGCCGAACGCATAGCAATCGGATGATCCAAGCGTGCCAAGCGAAAAGAAAGAAGCCATGTGCTCGTGTTAGGTCTGCTGTCCATTAAAGCGTCTTTTTACTTCACTTTACAAAAAAAATTTAGTCAATTAAAATCTACGTGCGTCTTATTGGTCCAAAGAATACAAATTCACCATAATACAAAGAAAATTCAACTGGTACTTTTTTTTCAACAAGCTTTTAAACTTCGTAATCTTTAAACTTAGTTTTTTCAGTTTAGAAACTAGTGGAGATAGACCACTGAAGAACTACAGCGACAAAATGTCTATGATGAAACGCCTTAGTGGACAGCAAGCCTTAGCGGAGCCTCGAACCGTAGACACGCGTGTACGCGAATCGCGCGTGTAGATGGTTGTTCTTCGGAACCAGGGCAAATGTGTATCGCGTTGCGTGTGTAATCCGACGTAACCACGCATCAGTAGCCCGTGGATCGGTAAACGTGATACACGTGCGGTGATTTCAATGAGAAGGCAACTCCTTCATCCATCCTAACGCATTATATCCTTATTCCACGGCGTACAAGAGAATCGACCACTTGTTGGAGGGGTGTGTGCGTATGTGCGTGTGTGTCGGCGTGTGTGTGTGATCCTCCCCACAGAAGAAGAGTAATTCACTGAAAGATGAAGGATATCTGGTGAAGCTGGCCCGACGAACGACAGAAGTTTGCGATCCTTCTTTCTACCGTGGCTCGTGATTACAAATAATGTTGTGATCGTGCCGGGAGGAGAAAGATGAGATTGAATCGAAGGACCGTTTCGTTTGGTGTGCTGGTGGTACTGATTCTGGTGGACGTTTCTGTTGCAAGCAACAACACGTGGGACAAAACTAGGGAGAAGAAGGCCAGGATCGTGAAGAAGCTGAGGAAGGACTTCCGGAAGCTGAAGAAACAGGACGGCGCGGTGAAGCTTGTGGGCGGGGAAAATGGTCATGAAGGTAAACGGGGGAATTCTGGATCCTCGAAAGCTTACGATCCGAAGCTTTTTTTACGAATAAAGCAAACAATCAAGCTTAACTGAACTTACTGTACTCCTACACTTCGTCGGTGATCGTACGACTTCTAGACAATACGACAGACTACAAATCTTATCGTCTATGGGTGCTTTTACACCGCGTAACGTTTCGCGGTTTTATCTGGCAGTTCCTCGGTGGTTGCATGCGTTATGCAACGGACGATTAAAAAGGGGTCAACTCGAGGATGATTTACGTCAACACCGCCGTGAATCAGCATGTAACTAAACGTCACGTAGCCGGAGAACTCGCGGAGTCGTGAACGCTAGACGGCCGAATTGGACCGTAAAACGGGATAGAATCCCGTCCAAGATCGTTCGGGCGTCAATTTTTATTGCCACGCCGTTTGGTATATTACCGCATTCTGACAGCGTTCTTCCGTCCCCCGGTTTCGTTATTACCTCGTGAAAAGTGCGATCGATTCTTTATTCTTAGCGACAACAATTTATTCCTTGGACCGATTATTTCGTTCTTGTAAACTTTTTCCTTTTCCTTTCGGATAGGATCACTTTGAGAAGATAGATCATACACTTGCTGAGCAATTGTATTTTAATTGGATTCCGTGAAACAACTCTGAAATTGTGTATGGCAACGATTGTGGAAATACGAATGAGTCACCTTTTTGCGATGAACGTCAGACAAAGGGGTTAATTCAGAAATCCTTTCTGTTCTATCTATCGTTGTATACGAGAAGAAAATTGTTTATAACTGTGAAAATAATCATTTTTTTACCCATCTTTATTAGGACTTTTTTCCATCATTCGACGAGTACTACATCTACTCCAGAAGATATGAATCCTTTTTTTTTTGGTTTGACCCTGTATATACATTTATATTGACCTTGAGTAATCGTGATCCAGTTTATGGTGGCCGTATTATTTATCCGTGATTCCATATCAGAAGCTCGAAATGACGACGGTCGGGCTCGAAATTGAACCCCTGATAATTTCCGTGGCGGCTAGTAGTAAAGTTTACTGCCCCCTCCCCTAGCCAACGGAACCGGAAAACTGTAAGCTCATAATTCGATTGATGCGCAGGAAACGTGGAAATACTTCACGACGGGAAATGGGGCAGCGTGTGCGACGACGAATGGGATTACTTGGAGGCCAATGTGGTTTGCAGGCAATTAGGCTTCGACGGTGCAATTAAACCGACGGCGAACGGTCACTTCGGCCAGGCCAGAAGTGAGATAATATTGTCTGTTCATTCTAGTCAATAATTCCTCTCTCGATCCTACACGATAAACACGATCGTTTCCGCCATGATGAAACACACCACAACATTTGTCACAGTTTATTCGATAAATTTTTGTCATTTGGAGCCATAGATTATCTCATTCGACCCACAAGGTTACGACAACACAACACTATTCAGGAACTTTGTGTGATATTCGAATTGAAAATTTTCAATACATCCGACAGTCACTCAAATCCACTTTCCACTTACTGGTTCACACAGGACATTCACCCGAATCCACTTTCCACCAACTGTTTCTCACGGACAATCGCCTGAATGTACCTTCCATCGAACCCCATAGACCCCAGAGGGGTTGCAAATTGATTAAGATCGGTGATACAGGAACTAAGCAAGTCGACGTGCAACCGTTCCAGGAAGATACTGGATGGACAACGTGTATTGCGACGGGAGCGAGGACGAGCTCTCTAAATGTCGTTTCGACGGATGGGGTACTTCCGATTGCGAGAGCAGCGAGGCGGCCGGTGTAATTTGCGCCCGCGAACAACAGTCCCAGGTGGCGGAGGGGACAGGGTCAAAGAGGAAGCCAAAAAGGAAGCCGGAGAAGTCGAGAATCAAGGATATCCATCAGCAGGGAGTGGCGATAAGGCTGGCTGGTGGACGCGTGCACAACGAAGGCAGAGTCGAGGTCAAGCTAGGAAACACAGGTACAAACTGATGTGGGAGAGAGAGAGAGAGAGACGACGATGATGATGGTCCCTCCTGGTCCCGGGACCAATGAGACTGCATTATTCCGAGAGCGAGAGGATCGCTTAAATCGACGGCCTCGTGTTATCCATTAGGCCAGCGGGCGTCTTTGGCCGACCTTCGTCTTCGAGATTCTTGAATTCCTTCGTGCACGGTAGAACCTCGATTAAGTCGAAATTGATCGAGTTCTACTGACAAGCGAGTTTTCGAATGTAAATGGGGAAAATGGTATGAATTGTATTCGATAAATTGATTGTACCGAGAATGCGTTTTCTAACGACGAGTTAATTCGTCATAGCCAGAGTTAATTGGTTATCACAGGGTATCACATTATTTCGTTAATTGAAGAAACTGTAAAATTTACGAAAGAACGGAATTAAAGACACACCTTTGGATTCGTTATTGTGTTTTTGAAGTTTAGTCTAGTGGTCGGTTGTTTTAAGTGTTCAGAGTTCCGACTCGTACCCGTTCCGATAATTTAAGGACCTTTATTCGGTCGCGGAGACGTTCCATTATACCGCGTCTGGTTTGTCACCGTGGCTTATAATGGGGGTTCTCCGTGTAATTTCGTTTCAGATTGGGGTGTCGTCTGCGGCGACGGCTGGTCTCTGTTCGAGGCGGCGGTGGTCTGTCGGCAATTGGGTCTCGGTTACGCCTCCGACGCCGTTCAGACGAACTTTTTCGGCGGCGAAAGGATCCCCATGGCCTTAACCGGGGTACAGTGTCACGGGAACGAGACAAGTCTGATCGAATGTCTGCACGACAAGGTTCTGGATTGTCCAGGTACAAATGGGCACTCTCCATTCGTTAAGCTTTGTGTCTACGCTCGACGTGCCCCTTTGTCCATTACATTGATTATTATGGGTAATCCATGTATTCTTGCTTAAGCATAGCTACTTAAGGTATTTAACTTAAGTAACTTAATTTGTCTGAAATTACTTGAGTCACATAAATGATTTAACGTAACTGAAATTACTTAACTCAAGCAAGTTTAAGTTAATTACCAGAGACATAAATTACCTCGTACGTTCGCATGAACATCAGCGAATCAATTCGTTCGCGTTAGAAATGTTTCGTCAGATGACGAATGGCGTTCGAAGCCAGTGACGGCTTTTAAATGGAGATTTTAGAGTACACGCGGCGGTTTCGCAACGAGACAGACACGGATATGATGGATGCGATACGTTCGTGGCGGTGTGGAGGATCACGTTGGATTCCTGGTCTCATTGAAAAGGAAAGGAATGCCAATTGGCTGCCGGTGGAAGGGCCCGGGCGAGTGTCAAGAGAATTGGCGCGCAAGATTAAAGAATGACAAGTACGACACCCTCCCACACACTGGCTGGTCTAGGATTCAGCGAAGGAATTTCTCCGTGGAATCGAATTCATTCCCGCAGAAAGAGGGGAGGGATTCTTCGGGCCAGATTGGGGGTTTAATAACGTACACGGACGAACAACCCGCGGGAATTGAATTTAATTTCAGGAATGAAGGATATATATATATATATATATATATATGTATACACTTGCTCCACTGTTATCTTGATTGAAATTCTAACCCCAAGATGAGAGTGGATAAATACATTTTATCTTGAAATGAATTAAAATGGAGAAAGCTTCGTCTTGTGTGTATTGGATCCTTGGAAGAATTTTGATAGCAACAAGAACATAAATGTCTGCACAATAATTTATTTTGGACAAAACAAGATTAACTCCTCGAGTGGTTATGCCCTACGTATCTTTGGAAAATAATCAGATTTATAAATCAACTAATTTCTTCATTTTCATACTACAATAAAAGTACGAAAGATCTGAGAAAATGCATTGTTTGTAATATTTTAACCATCGTTATAAGGGTGTTTTAACCAGTCATTTTAACAAGGTTTGTTAAAGGAACCAACAAATCTCTCATAATTGAAGTAATCGTCTCTTCCTTCCAGGACCATTAGAGAACGTGGCGAGTGTGGTCTGTCGTCGCGAGATCGCGGATTTGGTGTTCGATCACATCGAACTGATGCGCACCGCCCATTTGGAAGACAGACAACTCTACTGGTTGCAGTGCGCGATGGAGGAGAATTGCGTCGCGTCGCCAGCTTACACGTTAGTTATTAATGTACTATATTAATAAACAAGAACTTTGCATTCATTTTCCTTCGATAAAACTAGGTGTTGATACTGTAGATGCGATACTAATTAGGTATCGATACTTTTTTTCGATACAAGTTACGTGTAAAGGTATCGATACCTTGCTGGTATCTGTTTATCTTTACTTCCAGGATACAAAGGGAGTCGCAGAACTGGCACCTGGAGACCAGGAGGCTGTTGCGGTTCACCGCGAGGATCCTGAACGCCGGTACCGCGGACTTTCGACCCTCGGTGCCGAAACACTTATGGGAATGGCACATGTGCCACATGTGAGTGATAACTGGTTCAACCAGTAACGACGGAAACGAGCCCTGATAAAGTTCCCTCCTGGTTGACGTGCAACTACGCTCGAACAAAGGCTCGAGACTGAAAGCGGGTGTATCGTGTCAGGTGTACCGATAAGCGAACCACTATTTCTTCTCGAAATTTCTAAGCAACATATATTAGGTTGATGTATGAGTAATGGAAATTCTCAAAGTGTTATTATTGTTAAATTGTTAGAGTGATATGTTACACAGCACAGAATGGAAAATACCTATTCGGTTACATAAATTAGTTTCCCGTTTAAATAAAAAGGTTTGCCTTTGTATGGAAAAATTCCCATTATTTGTGCATCAGCCCAATATTTTCGTGTCGACTAACAACGGTGTAACGTGCAGGTAAAATCTCCACGAATACAAATTAAAACAGTATCCTTCGCTTCTAGAGAAACAAATTGTACCGTTTATGTCGAGAAACACCGGATTTACTTATTGTCCCGTCTCTAATAGAAACCTACAACGGGTGGTCGAGGAAAAGTAATATCGGACCACCAGCGTCCTCGTGGCCAGTTTCCAAGCTGTTCGCCAGCAACGATGGTCTGTCCCATTTGTTATCAACTTTTTCCCGAATCACCGCTCCACCTCTAGTAATATTCCGTTGCAAAAATGACAGGGGAACAAGTTCCCGTCGTTTACCCTATCTCTTCGCCCTCCAAAGATAAAGTGCATTAGAGGCGCGAGAAACCCTCCCCCTCCTACTCCCTTGTGTTCCACAAGACTTTATCTATCTCTCGGGATCAAGGGAAGGTTTAAGGGGACTAGGCAGATAGAACCATTAAGAAAAACAAACTTTCAAGGTATCGGTGTTAGGACTTGAAAGAATATTTTGTTGTTTTCTAGGTTGAATTTTCCTTATATTATGGTGAATTTGTATTCTTTGAACATATTAAGTTTATTGAGTGAGTTAAAAATTAGATTAACTCAATTTTTTTAAGAATGGAGTTGGAACAGTTAAGAACTCGGGTGAGTTAATAGTATTAATAAAGGTTGCCCAAACGTACTAGTCAGAATTTGTATTTATATCCTTGTAATTAATTCCCAAAGAAAAGTTTACTTTTTTTTTTATCAAATCTGACTGTCCAGTCCTCTTAATCCATGAACAGAGAGAGATAGAGAGATTCTACAGTCCATGTCGAGATTACTCAGAGGGATGATGATGATGATGATGGTGGTGGTGGTGGTCGTGGAGGAGGAGACGGTGATCATTAATTCCGCATTACGGCTTGTTAACGATAGGCATTATCACTCGATGGAGGTGTTCGCAACGTTCGACGTGTTCGCCGAGAACGGGACCAGGCTCGCCGAGGGGCACAAGGCGTCGTTCTGCCTGGAAGACAATCAATGCCTGCCCGGAGTGGAGCCGAGGTAGTATAAACGGCAATTAGCCTCGTTACCGAAAACATTTTAGTCTCGCTCCTTGTATATATCGTATCGTACCCCTGGTGTACTAGGTCTCTCTCTCTCTCTCTGGTTCTAATTGGTGAGCCAATTAAATGACGACCGGTGTTCCATCTCACCCACTCTTCCTGATTTCAGGTATAAATGCGCCAATTACGGTGACCAAGGAATTTCCGTGAATTGCAGCGACGTGTACAAGCATAATATCGATTGCCAGTGGGTCGACATATCGGAACTGCCGCCAGGACAATACACGTTTAAGGTTAATAAAAACTTTTTGCTTTCTTTCTTGTTTGGAAAATTACCCCATCGAACGCGAATAAATGGCCCCTGAGTCCATCAAATTCTAGTCAGAGGGGAGGAAGTCGGGACGTGCAATCGCGATACCATATAGGATAGGAGGGTAAATAATAATCGAACGATTATTTATGTTTTCAGGTCGCGGTGAATCCAGAGTTCAAAGTGGGCGAGATGTCATTCGACAATAACGCGGCGATCTGTCGTCTCCTATACACGGAAACTTTTGCCACTGTGCACAGTTGCGTCACGGGAAGGCCTTGATACACGACGACGATAACGCCTCTATGCGCGCGTATGTGTGTCTGATTCGTCAAAGAAAAATCGAGAAGAAAGATGTAACCCAGGCGAACCGATGGACGCCAGTTCGTTATCGATGTTGTCAATTAAAATCCGTCTGGTTTCTCTCTCGTCATTAGACAATAAAGTGAATAAAGCTGTCGTTCTCTTTGTGCAATCCTTGTTCTTCATTTCCCGGCAACATTACCGTCCAGAGAAAAAAAAGAACATGTTTTTGCGCGTGGCTGACGCAAAATCAGGTTGCTTATATCTTTTTTGATATCCTAGTTTACATTAAAATGTCTGGGAATTGTCAAGAAATCCCAATACACAAATAGGTGCCATTTTGGGATTTCTTCACAGTTCCTACAAATTTTAATCTAAACTAGGGTATCACTCGTATACATTAATAATCATTTATGTTCTTTTTTATTCAAAAAAGATAGAAGCAACCTGAGTGTGTGTCAGCCACGCGAAAACTGTGCCTTTATATTAAGTAGTATTATATATAAGTAATATTTAAGGCAATTGTTACTAAATTGATACAAATACCATTGTAAATTGTATATTGTTTCATAATTTTTTCAATAAAAAACAGTCAAACGATCAAAGATTTCGTTACATTTCCTTTTTATTTGGAATAGACAGAAGCAACCTAAACGGGCGTTAGCCACGCGCAAAACGTTTATTGGAAAATACAAATATACATCTAAATTATAATGATATAAAAGTTTGAAATACAATCCGTTTCTTCGTCGTACACTTTGTTCCTTGCTTACACCGATAGATTCTCGAGCCATCTGTTTCTACTTTCTATCTTGCTTACAGCGATAGTAAGGGACCGCGTGTGGTGAGATCATGGGGTCATAGAACCCCCGGTGGAGGCACCAGGGACCCTGTGTGGTGAGAACGTGGGGTCATAGAACCCCCGGTGGAGGCGCAAGGGACCCTGTGTGGTCAGAACGTGGGGTCATAGAACCCCGAAACATACGTGAAGGTCAGTGGGCTACGTTAAGCACTCCGTGTTTACTTCATATTTGGACAGGTCTCACGACATTATATGGACAACATTTGTGTTGAACAAGCACTCGACTTGTAGCTGAAAGAACGTAGATTAATCTCCTGTCAGTGGCAATAGCAATAAACGACCAGAACACTGTTAAAATCGCAATTTATTTGCAACGGTTGACACTGTATCTCGTCGTGCGTACCCCGGTTAGTTCACTTTGGACTGCTCGTACATCATTATACGGACAGCTTTTGTTTCGATAAAGCACTCATTTTGTAGCTGAAAGTACGTAGATTAATCGACTGATATTGAAAATAACAATAAGCTACCGGAACACTGTTAAAATCGCATTTAATCGCGGAGTACCACTATTTGTTTGACCGGTGGCGCCATCCGTGGCGAACGGCTGAAACTGGTAGCCATATAATTGGCTAGCAGTTTCAGCGATTCGCCACGGATGGCGCCACCGGTAAAAAAAGTACTGGTATTCCGCGATTAAATGCGATTTTAACAGTGTTCTGGTTGTTTATTGTTATTTTCAATGACAGGAGATTAATCTACGTTCTTTTAGCTTCAAACTGAATGCTTGATCAAGACATAAGTTGTCCATAGAACATTGGAAGAGCTATTTAAAGTGAACTAAACGGGGTAAGCATGACGAGATACAGTGTCAACCGTTGCAAATAAAGTGCGATTTTAACAGTATTCTGTTAGTTTATTGTTATTGCCACTGACAGGAGATTAATCTACGTTCTTTCAGCTACAAGTGGAGTGCTTGGTCAAGATGAATCAGCCGTTATCGGGTACCAATCTACATTCCATAAACTTCGAATGTACTGCATGACGAATAAAAGTGTTGCCTGTTTAGTGGTTATGTACTTGCCACAGGTTTCGATCGGATTTACACTGCTAAACGAGCATCAATTTTCCTCATCATGGATTACATTGGAAGTTTAAAGAACGCAGATTAGTACTCTCTGGTAGGTGGGAACCAGTAATTACAAGAACATTGTTAAAATCTCAATTGTTTGCAA